TGGAGGGTGTGGTGGCATTTTTGGCAATGTGGTGACATTTTGGGCGGTGTAATTACATTTTGGGCGGTGTGATGGCAGTTTGGGCGGTGTGGTGACAGTGCTCAGTTTGGGCGTGGTTGGGCAGTGTGGTGACAGAGTTTGGGGGGTGTGTGATGACAGTGGCTAAGTTTGGCTGGCTATTGGTGTGGTGACAGTTTGGGGGGTGTATGGTGGACAGTTGGGCGGCGTGGTACAGTTTGGGCGGCGTGATGACAGTTTGAGCGGTGTGTGTGTGGTGACAGTGCTCAGTTTGGGCAGTGTGGTGAAGCACAGCCACTGAGTGCCTGTGCTTTGTCCGCCTGTTACACCGGCCTCGGCTCATCCAGCCCCAGTCCGTTCCCTAAGTCACGTCGCTGCTGACGCGCTGCACCGAGCTGACCCCGGCCGCCGCCGCCGTCGGCAGGTGTTCGACCTGCTGAACGACAAGGCCAAGCTGCGCGTGTTGGAGGACGGCAAGCAGCAGGTGCAGGTGGTGGGCCTGACGGAGCGGCCGGTGGAGAGCATGGAAGACGTGCTGAAGCTGATCCAGCACGGCAACACCATCCGCACCAGCGGCACCACCTCGGCCAACAACCATTCGTCGCGCTCGCACGCCGTCTTCCAGATCATCCTGCGCACGCGGCAGTCAGGGGTGCCGCCGGACCGGTGCCGGCTCTACGGCAAGTTCTCGCTGATCGACCTGGCTGGCAACGAGCGCGGCGCCGACACGTCCTCGTCCGACCGCATGACGCGCATGGAGGGCGCCGAGATCAACAAGTCGCTGCTGGCGCTCAAGGAGTGCATCCGTGCGCTGGGCCGGAAGGGCGCCCACCTGCCGTCCGCGCCTCCAAGCTGACCCAGGTGCTGCGCGACTCGTTCATCGGCGAGAAGTCCAAGACGTGCATGGTAGGTGGGTGGGGTGGTGATGGAACCTGCCTGTGGGTGTGTGTGTGCTGAGTCACGCTAAGTATGGTAGCTCGTAATGAGATGGGCTGCACACTGGCTGGTGGGTGGGTATAGGCGGGTGGATTGTGATGATTTGGGGTTTTGGGGCACATCGACTGCTGTAGGTCATGCAGCGCCCATAAGGCGAATGAATTGAAATGGTCTCGGGCCCATACTGCACTCACCGGTCGTTGACTGCACCTCCAACACTTGGCTGTGCCCAGCGCGCCGCCGCGTTGCGACTTGGATGCCATGTGTGCCACCGTGCTGCGCTGTGCCGGCCGTCACCGCCGCTGACGGCCGGGTCTGCCCCGCCGCTGACGGCCTTGTGTGCCGCCGTGCCGCGCTGTGCCGGCCGTCACCACCGCTGACGGCCGGACCCCCGCCAGATCGCCATGATCAGCCCCGGCCTGAACTCGTGCGAGCACAGTCTCAACACGCTGCGCTACGCCGACCGCGTCAAGGAGCTGGGCGCCCAAGACCCGCTGGAGATGAAGGCCGACAATGCTAACGGCAACGGCCGCCGGCCGGAGCCGGAGCCCATGCGCGGCGTCGAGTCACCCGACGACGATCTCGCCCAGCTGCGCTCGCTCAACGTAGGTGGCGCGGCGGCTCATCGCCGGACGGGCCGGGCTGGCGGGAGCGGGGCCACTGGCACAGGTGTTGTGTGTGTGTGCCTGTACGTGTACCTGTGTGCATGTGTGCGTGCGTGATTTGCTTTGGGTGCGGTTTTGAGTCAAGCTGTGTCCATTTTGACGGATTAGTGAATGTCTTGTAATGAGTTAATGATTTTGGCATTGTGCTGCATGCAATTTAATGGTGCAACTTGTAGTGTTTCAAACTTTAAAAGCTAAATATTCAGTAGATAGTTGCCATCGCGTTATAACGTGCCCGCCGTTAAGCTGTTTATTCAGACCAGTCATGCTCGGAGTTGGGCAGATTATGACGACATCGCTGACTTCGTGAGGCACGCCACTGACGAGTTTCCGTGCGGTTCCTTGTTACACGATGGGGTGAGGTCATGCTCCATGTGTTGACGGTTGGTTGTGGCGTGTACCGGAGCGTCACCGGCCGTGGCGACTGGCCGCCGCGTCCGTGCCAGTGACCCTGTGTCGTGTCGCCCGGCGCAGATCTCGACCTCGGGTCTGGTGGAGAGGCTGCACTCGCGCGAGAAGGCCGACCCGTCCCTCTTTGTGAGCGCCGTCCCGTCCTCCTCCCCCTACCCGGGTGGCGGGAGCCGGCGGCACCGCCCCCTCGTCACCGGCGGCACCGCCCCCTCCAGCGGCCCGGCCCGCACGCCCGGGCGCATCAGCAGCGGCCGCGTGCTGGGAAGGATGAGACGCACTGAAAAGCTGTTGTGATGTGCTTATCCTGGAGCCTTGAACCGCACACAAATCAAATGAGCAGTGCAGTGAGCGCTGGTAAAAAAGCTGCGGAACTGTCGGCCGTTCCATGCCACAGCCTTTGCTTCCACCGTCCCCATGTGTAAAATAGTCCCAGTCGGCATCCACATGACTGTTAGCAGAGCGCCTGTCTAAGCCAGCCCAGGTATCCTGCATGGGCCGCGACGACTCACGTCAACGCATCACGCAGCTGGGCTTGCCAACTCTGCACTGGCACCAGCACCAGTGCCGGCCCTGGTCGGGCCGCGCAGCCGCGGCCGGGTCGTCGTCCGTGTCCCGGTGTCTGTGTCCCGAGCGTGTACTATCAGCTGACGCACGCGCCGCTCTTCCTGACAGGAGGGCGAGCTGTCGGCTGACCTCTACAACTTCCACGAGGCGGTGTCGCACCTGCAGGACATGGAGGAAGAGGTGCTCGATATGCACAAGGCCACCATCGAGCTCTCGCCGCGCTGGCAGCAGATGGACATGTCGCTGCTCAAGATGACCAACGAGGTAGACTACGACGTGGACGGTGAGTGGAGCGATCTGATGACTAGATGGGCGTCTGAACTTGTGAGCTGTTAAAGAGACAGGAGCGGGGTAGACGCAGACTGCCCTTGATTGACGTGGACGGTGAGATGACCCGAGAATGGCGCCTCCACCAGATTACGCCACACGCACCGCCCTGCTGACCCCAGAGCACCCGGCGCTTACGTCTTGATGAGGCGTCGTCCATTGTTCGGAGCTGTCTTTGACGGACATGCCGATCACTCACATTGACAGTACCATCCACCGGACGATCTCCCAAAGAATTGATGGGTAGACACCGACAAGTCGGATTTCGAGTTCTGAGCGTGTGTGCGTCTGCGGCTGCTTCATGCCAGAGTCGGTGGCGGGTCGCGCTCTGCTTTAAACTATGAAGAACATCGCCCCGTTCTGTGTTGTGTTCGCGTAATTCTGATTTTGTTAGCGTCGACAGGCCCCGGCCGTGTTGTGTCACGATATGTCACGGGCGCCTGCTGTGACGCGTTACTATGCGTTCTGACACATGTCGTTCCTTCTCAGCATACGTGCAGCAGCTAGAGGACCTGCTGGAAGAGAAGGTGGACGTGCTGAACAAGTTCAAGCAGAAAGTGGCGCTGTACCGCTCGCAGCTGGCCGAAGAGGAGAAGATATCACGGAACATCAAGCCTTTGGCACGGCGTTGAGGCCCGTGAAGACAGACGATAGCCGTCCCCGATGCCTGTTGGGGCGCGTTGCCGGCACCAGGTGCTGCGGCGCGGGGCCGCCTGGGACGAGCAGTGATCCTGCGGCCGCGGCCGTGTCTCGCCTGTGGCTCACGGCGCCGGCGGCGAGCGTAGCCGCCCGCTGCCGCACCGACCGACGTGATTCCGCCCCGTGCCGCGACTGTGATCCGCGCCGCGTATCGTGGCCGCCGGGACCGGCGCCGCACCGCTTGTATGCTGCGGGCCGCGGGCCGCGAGCCGGCCAGTAGCCCTAGGCCCGCGCCGCACTGACCGCCGCCGCCGCCTCGCCGCGGGGCGCGAGTGTCCGTGCCGGCGGCGGCGGCCGCGCGGCACCGCATTCGCCGGTGGAGCACGAGTTTTCGAGCGCGACTGAGTGGCAGCTCGTATCTGTGTTAAAGTTGTTAGATGTAAGTTGTCAGTGCATCAATAAATTCGTCCTAGTTTTGTCAGCCGCTTATTTTGCTGCGCGCTGGGATACGGTGCCAGGCGCGGTGTCCTGGTTCTCGCGTATTTATTACGATTTGGTGCCTGTCGCTTATTACAAACTGCGCTTGGATGGAATAGGCTAGAGCTTGTGGCGATAACTCGAACCGCGCATGTCAGCGCCTGAGCTTTGTGCCTTGTGGGTTTGTTCCGTTCTTAATTTGTCACAAGTTTTACGTTTAAAAATGCTCCAAATGCACGAGCTGTGATTTGCACCGTTTGGCGTCTCGGTTCACAGGGAACATAAACGGCTGTGTTCTGTCACACCTGTGATCTGAGATGTCCGCGGTCGTCATTTATTTCTATACGATTTATTTCACGGCGCGATCTACGCCACGCGCTTCACTGTGCCCGAGCCTGAGCATTACCCGGCAGTGACGGGTGCCGCCGGTCGTCTTAAACAGCCGCGACGGAGCGTCTGTTATTCCGAACATTTGGCTACGCTGTCGTCCGCTCGCATAACAGCACTCGCCGCGCGGCGTTCACCGTCTTCGTTAGTCACAATATCAGAGCAACTACGTAAAACAACGTAAGTACAAAAATACACATCTCGACGTACGCACGTTGTGGCTCTGAACGGCGCGGCTCGTGGCTGCGCTCGTGGCTCCTCGGTTCCCAGCAGTTCGACGCACAGTACATGGCCGGGGTCCTCTTAACGTGGCCCGTCGCCGTCTCCTTTGGAGAGCCCCAGCGTTGCCAGCGCCGTCTCCCCTAGCTGAGTCGTTCCGGTGGCTGACACCTCTGCGACCTCTGGTAACTGAGTTCGTAGCGAGCCCCTGGCGTCCGCCTCGCAAGCGCCCGCTTTCGCTCCAGCCGCGCGGTCATTTGGCTTGACGTGGTCCCGCCCGCTAGCACGACGGCACAACGTGCGATGCCGAAGCCCTGCGGCGCCGCAGTGTCCCGGCGGCCACACGGCCCCCCTGACCTACGAGTGCTTGCTGACGCGTCCGCGCGACTTCTTCTGCCGCTGCCGTCAGAGGAGCGCGGCGCCGTGGGCGGCCAGCAGCCGAGCAGCGCGGTGGCGGCGGCAGCGATCAGCGGCGCCAGCGGCTCGCCGGCGCGCCGCACGTCAGGAAGCCGAGCGCCTGACGCCCGGTCAGCACGCCGCAGTCCACCTGCACGATGATGGGTTGTCCTGCGGCACGATCGGGTTGCGGTCGCAGCGGAAACTGCGCACCGGCGCCAGCTCGTCCCAGACGAGCCGCTTGGTAGATCCAGGCGGGCGCCGAGAGCCAGCGCAGCCAGTGCGTCCAGATGGAGAGGTCCTGAGGGTGGGGCCGCCCAGCCGGCGGCCAGCAGCAGCGGCAGCAGCGCCGCTCAGCCAGCCGGCCGACAGGTGGCGTGACGAGCTGACGTAGCCGGCCGCCACCGCCAGCAGCCGCGTGCACAGCAGGTACGCCAGCATGTACCTGCCGATGGACCGGGACGGCTGTCAGCGGGAGCATGGGACAACCGTCAGCGAGAGCGCCGGGAGGCCGTCAGCGGGAGCATGGGACAACCGTCAGCGGGAGCATGGGACAACCGTCAGCGGGAGCATGGGACGGCCGTCAGCGGGAGCATGGGACAACCGTCAGCGGGAGCATGGGACAACCGTCAGCGGGAGCGCCGAGAGGCCGTTAGCGGGGGCGCCGGGAGGCCGTCAGCGGGAGCGCCGAGAGGCCGTTAGCGGGGCGCCGGGAGGCCGTCAGCGGGGCGCCGGGAAGCCGTCAGCGGGAGCATGGGACGACCGTCAGCGGGAGCGCCGAGAGGCCGTAGCGGGGCGCCGGGAGGCCGTCAGCGGGGCTGGGAAGCCGTCAGCGGGAGCATGGACGACCGTCAGCGGGAGCGCCGAGAGGCCGTCAGCGGGGCGCCGGGAGCCGTCAGCGGGAGCATGGGACGACCGTCAGCGGGACGCCGAGAGGCCGTTAGCGGGCGCCGGGAGGCCGTCAGCGGGGGCGCCGGGAAGCCGTCAGCGGAGCATGGGACGACCGTCAGCGGGAGCGCCGAGAGGCCGTTAGCGGGGTGCCGGGAGGCCGTTAGCGGGGGCGCCGGGCGGCCGACGGCGCAGATATCGACCATCGTTACTACCCGCGTCCTGCGCCTGGACAAGTCCGTGACTGGCGCTGCTGGAGGTGCTCTGACGTATACAATGTGTGCTGTGTGCTGACGAGTGGCTATTTTGAGCTAGTTTGCTATTCTGAGCTATGTTGATGGGCGCCGTCGTTTGATGCGTAGGAAGATTATAACATACACTCCCCCACACACCAAATCTTTGCTCAAATTCAATCGCGCCGGAGGCAGTTGGTCACATAGCATGTAAACTCACCCATGTAGAGATAGAACGAGGTGTCTGTGTCGTTTGGGTGCGTGCCGGCCATTTTGTAAGCCGGCACGATGAGCAGCAGGCACTGGAGCGCCGAGCCAGGCAGGCTGTAGAACAGCTGCAGGAGAGGAGAGAGGTCAGACGTCCGCCGGCTCGTCACGGCACCCGTTATGGGAACCATGATATGCCTGGACCATAATACGACCGCATTAATCCCAACTTTCTCATATCTTGCCAAGACAGGTCACGCTCAATCCCCGGTCCGGCCACGCTCAGCGGCCCGGTCAGTCCATCCTAGCGTCCGTCGAGACATTGCTTCGACCGCGTGACTGTTCACCAGCAGTGCTGTGGTGACAAGCGGCTGGCTGAGCCGCGCGCACTCCATGAACACCAGCTCCTCCTCCTCCTGTCCTGCCCGGGCCGCGCTAGCGCTGACGCCGTGCTGATAATGACCATCAGGCCTCTGCCATGCCCCGTTGATGATGACATCGTCGAGAGATAGCTGGCCGGTTGGTTGTTGGGCTGCCACCGTTACCTTGCTGACGATGAGACAGAGCCGGGAGTAGAGCCGGTCGCCAACGTCCCTGCTGACGGCGTCCTTCTCCTGCCACACTTCGCTGATGCTGAGCAGCAGCAGCGGCCACAGGGCCAGCGACATCATCGTGTAGTGGAAGCCCAGGCGGTCTGGGATGTTCTCCTGTCAGGAGGAGCGGGGTCGGACTTCAGTGCCACTCTATTGCGCCGATTAGTCCTGATGCGGAAATAGCGCTGGAAGCTAAGGCTCGGTTCGGCATTTTTTTTATCATCCACGCAAGCAATGGGAGGTCGCATGGTTGAACACGGCGACAGCGGCGCGGCGAGTATGCGCATGTGGCACGTTCCTTGCATACACTGACCTGGTCTTTGTTGTCACCGCGGAGATCGTAGAACGTTGCGCCTACGATGACGGACATGAGGCAGGCGAGAGTCATGGAGGTGGCCCAGCTGATCAGATTGTACGGGAACGTGTAGACCATCGCCCGTCTGAAATGGGGGGTCACAAATCAACACCAGGAGGCGACAGTGGTTCGCAAAATTGTCCCGATAGTGCAGCTGATTGGAGCCCCTGCCTTTCCGCTCTGCCCACCGTGGCGGGATGGGTTTGGGTCGCTTTAGATACTCGCTATCTGCCCTTGACTGGGATGGCTTGCGGCCGGGGGCAACGGCCGCGTTGTAGGCCAGGTGACGTCAGAGAGAAGACGCACCGCGCCGAGAATCGCGGCGTGTGGGGCTTCTGTCATCAAGCACTGCCGTTCTGCCTTTAGTCTGCAATTTTACGATCAGATGATGGGGGCCCGGGCTCACGCTAAGCAGTGCTTGCTGCGTGAGTGCTGATCCCAGAAATCCATCCCTTCGAAAGGCTTGGACGGAAACATTGAAAAAGGTGTGCGGTCAAAGGCTATTGGGTAGTCCGGCATTCTTCGCTGCGCTTCGTTAAGCTTCCGTTCGTCGTGTGCCACCGGGCAAGAGAAACTCGGTGTTTGGCTGTTGTATACAGTTTACGTAGGCATAAGTCAACTGCGGCCTAAGTCCAGCTTAGAGATGCTTGAATATCCACGAGCTACTTGCATATAAATGTACTTGAATGTTTTAGAAGTACCTGCATGTCTTAGAATTACTTGAACATCTGGTAACTATTAGGATATCTAGCTGCATTCTGATTGGGAGCAAATAATCATCAAATTATCAAGGTCGACGCCCAATTTCAAGTCGAGTCATTTTGCGCACAATGCACTGTCACCTTCGATAGCACAAGTAAAGGAAAGCTGGCATTTCCAGCCGAAACAGACAGATGTCCGAACGTGCCTGGAGACAAGCAGCTGTAACAAACCGTCCACCCAGACCGAAGGCCATTCTCACATCCAGAGGGCGAGAATCTGCACACAGCAGTTGGCGCGCCGTATTTTTGGCGGGAGCAGGCCGGGCGGGCCAGGGTCTGGCAGCGGCTCCTGGCGCCGCTGGAACGTCTTGGCCAGCTCCGTCACTCGCTGGGAAGACTCGAGCGTCGCCTCAGGCGACAGGTCGTCCAGGGTCACCAGGTCCACTGGTGACACGAGCAACCGACATGGCATAGTTATGGGGCAAGCAGAACACGTGCGAGACACCGACAATGCGTCGCCTATTGTCAATGCTTACAGGATCAAGGTTTATCATCACTTAAGTGTTTCCCGTTAGAACGATGTTTCATTTACGAACTACAAAAGAAGTCTGTTAACGCCTGGAAGTGTCATGATATGGTGTGACATTGACATAATGTTCATCTATGAATATAATTATTTTTTGGCCGAAGTTCACTTACACTTAATGCTTGTAATATCGGCAAGTTTGACAAACTGTTCCAGACCGCTTTCTAGTCAACACATGCTATCATATACGTCGTAGATTGAATGCCGCTTTAGCATTCTTGTGCAGTGGCGTAACCAAGGGAATTGGAGCTTTTAGGGCCATCCCTCCCGGAAGTGGCCAGGCCGCTAGGGCAGAAGGCCGCCATATTCTCAGGCAGTTTAAAACACCTGAAAGCTGTCCAAAATACACAACCAAAAATGGCTCCCGAGGCGTCAAAATGAGATTTCTAATACAAAAAAGTCTCGGAAAACAGGGCCCCAAAGCGATGAAGAGAGGGCCATCTGGCGGTAAGGGCCCCTATTACCCGATTTGGCAACCTCTTGGGCTACTTCTTGGCTGTGCAACTGGCCGTGTGTGCCTCAAGAACTCTTTCTCTCCTTCTCTCCCTCTCTCCTTCTCTCTCCCTCTCTCTTCTCTACTCACAATAGTAGTCGGATGGATTCTTGTAAGCCGGGCACGGGTAGTCGATGAAGGCGAAGTAGGGCAGCATCTCGCGTCGCTTGCCGCTGTAGATGACGCGCCGGCCCGAGATCAGCATCACCTTGGTCAGCATGGTGAATATTTCGTAGGTGGGCGGCTGCAGCGTCAGCAGCACGATGCGGCCGCGCGCCGACCACTGGCGCAGGTACTCCACCAGGAAAAACGTGTCGAAGATGTCCATCTCGCGCGTCGGCTGGTCGAGCAGCACGATGTCCGTGTCAAGGCAGAGGTGGCAGGCCACATTGAGTCGCCGTTTCTCCGACACGGTCAGGTCCTTGACGCTGGTGTGCTTCACCTGGCCCAGGCCCAGGTCCTCGATCAGCGCGTTAATCTGCGGCGAGGCGGAGGCGGGTGAGGTGCGTGTTGCGGGACAGCCGCTGCTGACTGCGGTGCGACGTGATAACGTGAAAGCAGCGCGGCTTTGCTGGCGAATTCGCTGTGCATAGCATGCGTTGCGCAGTGTTTTCTTTAAAACGTATTGCACCTGTCTGTAAAGAAAAGTCGGGCTAAACGCGACGCTGCAGGCAATCTGACATGTCATAACCTGCCAGCAGTGCAAGCTGCGAGACGTCTTCGCCTCCTGCCCCACAGAACCCGGCGTCCTCCGCCCGTCACCGCCTTCCCACCGGCGCCTCGTCTCACCTTCTGTTTGACGTTGAAGCCTCTGGCCACGTGGCCGGGCTCCTGCAGGAAGGCATGGAAGAGCATGGTCTGGCGGACGGACATGTTGGGGCTGAAGTTGCACTCCTGCTGCACATAGGCGACGCGGCGAGCCAGCCGCGCAGGCTCCACCTGACATCCGTTCACAACCAGGTCACCGCTGACCCTCATACTCCAGCGGCTGCCGCAGTCGGCCAGCGCGTCCAGGATCGCCGTGCCTTCGCGCTCTGGGAAGAGAAAGAGGGAGGAAACCGCGGTCAAGAACGGGGCGGGATAAAGGGTATCGACGATCAGGCTGACAATAAAAAAGAAAACAGCAGTGCGAAGGTGAATCCGGTTATCCATCTGCATGAGGATGTCGGAGCAAAGTAATCCTCTATTACTACACCTTTGTAATATTACTACACCCTAGAAATAATATTACTACATACCACACACACGCGCACACGCACGCGCAAACGCACAAACACACGCACACGCACACAAACACGCACACAAATACACCCACACGCGCGCAAACGCACACTCACTCACGCACGCTCGCATGCACGCACGCACGACATTCTACAGCTCACTGCTAACCGGGCCAACACCAGCCTCGACCTGGGACGGTGAGCGGCGGTGCTCAGCTGGTTCAGTCTCACCTGCCGTCGTCATTACGCCCACCAGGTCACCACCGCGCGCCTCGAACGTGGCGCCCTCCACCAGCCGGCGCCAGGCGCCGTCCACGCGCCGCTCGCAGTGCAGGTCGCGCACCTGCAGGTGCGGGTGCTTCGTGTCCATCGCCTGGTCCTTTGGGAACAGCTTGTCGTTAAGCATGGGGGGCTCCTTGCCGTAGCCGGCGCCGTCGTGGCGGCGCGAGAA